GTGGGGAGACGGAGAAGCAACCCGTGCCACAGCTGAATCCTAGAACGGGATTCAGTGAGAGGCAGGACGAGGCTCGGGCCTGGGCTGACCTGGAGGCCTCTCAGGTGATTCTGCTAAGAGAGGAGCATCCCTCAGAGCCTACACGTTTTGTGATCCACTCACAGGACGTCTGCAAGAGGCCGACCCCTGGGACACACAACAGGGCAGGGGTGGCCACAGCTGGGGAGGAGGGGAGTTGGGCCACAGGGGGCTCATGGGGAACACACAGGCGACAGGAGCTGCTCCCTACCAGGCTGAACGTGCATGGGAGGCTGACTCTGCACAGCTTGGACCCACGGGACTGCACTCCCACAGTGGGACGCTCACCTGTGCCCTGAACACCCACCTGGGAAATGAAAGTGCACGTGACTGCGCCCTGGGAGGTGTGCGTGTCCCTGCAGGCGGCGCTCACCCACACGGTGGACAACACGCAGGTGCCCTGACGACGTCACTGCGCATGAGCAGAGTGTCACGGGCCCTGCGTGTGGCTGTCAGGCTCTGTTAGGCAGAGCTGCACTGAGAGCCTCGGCAGCACAAGACACACGGCCTCTGTCCTCTCTCTTCCAGCCAACAGGCCTTATTCCACATACTGATGGCCTATTCCGTCTACAATCCCGTGAGTATTCTGGGATCATAGCGCAGGTGCTATCCCGGCAGTCCCTGCAGGGCACCCCTGGTCACAGAGATCCCAGCCTGGGTTGAGGGGGCCTCGCTCATCCACAGCTCTGAGGAAGAGTGGAGGCCAGGCTCTGAGCCCTTGGACCCAACCTCAAGTTCTGGGAGGAGAAAGGCAGCCTTCTCCTGGGCTGGTCTCCAGACCCCAGGAGCTTGGCCGTGTTGGGACCCCTCCCAGGACTAGCATTCCACGCAGTGGGGCGGGGGGCGAAGGCAGGGCAGATCAGGTGTACGACTTTGCTCTGGGTCCCACTGATGCCATTACACCCACCAGCCCTGTGGTTGGACCCATTTGTCCTAACATCCCACTCTGTACAGCGCCAGCTGGCCACACCACACGTCTCAGACCTTTCCCATGCGTGGGAGCAGGTGCAGGGCTCCATGGTTTACCAACAAGCCTGGACATCCCACCCCGACCCTGCACTGGCCAACCCTCCTGGTGCCCTGGTTTCCCAGGGGGCCTTGGCATCTCAGGAGCCCAGGCCTGCATCCCCATGCCAGAGCACCAAATCCACCTTGTTCCGGTCCTGGTAGCACTTCCCTGGCTTACTTCTTCCTCATGTGAGAAAGGGGCCACCCGGCTCACCTGCAGAGCTCAGGGGTCCAGAAGCTTCCATGGGCATGGATCTGGATTCACACAGCAACCCGGGCCATGCTGACCATCTTGGGGGTAACCGGTGTCCATACTTGAGCTCTACCCCCTGTGCTGCCTAAGCTCAGGCTCCTGCAGGATTCCTCCAGGAACTGGAGAACTTCTCTGTCTGGCTCCCATTCTTGGCAGCTGACACCAAGTGGCAGGATTAAGCGAACAGGGGCTCCCTGTGCCTAACTCTTCCTGGCCTTCAGTGGCGTTGACCTGCTCTGCCTGAGAGGTGGGCCATCCTAGATTCATTCTCTGCCAGGGGAGGTCTCCCTAAAGGTTATTCTGGGATCTTGCAGGAGGTGGGCTACGCCAGGGTCTGAAGCCATGTGGTGGCGCTGTTTGCTCATGTATTGCCCGAGGCAGTACTCTTCTGGGCCCTGGTGGCTGGCAGCCATGGAAAGCAGGAAGCACGCGAGCAGGTAGGTGGATGGCGTGTGGGGCCCAGGGCAGCAGTCGTGCACGGCCCTCACTGGCTCTGAATGTGCGGGACAGTGTCACAGTGTTTGTGGTGTGGGGTCTCCCTAGAAGCCAGGGCTGGCAGAGGCCTCCCAGACTGAGACAGCCCCCCTTCTTTTACCACACCCAAAGGCCCTGCCGCTTGTCCTGGCATCCTGGTTTGTGGGAAACCTTCAGAACAAGAGGGTCCGTACTTGTCCATGACTCAGGTCGATTCTGGGCTCTTCTCTGCCTCACACGTCTGTACACAACTCTCAAGCACAGAGCCACACCCAGGGAACTTGTGGAAGGCAGCATCCCCTGTAGGGTCACCCCCTCCTCGCTCCTGAGTCTTGGAATGGTCAGGAGGCACCCAGTCTGACTGCACCCACCCCAGCGGGCTCCAGGGGGCAGCCAGGCCTGGGCTGCACACAGTCACCCACCTGCACCCACCTCCTAAGCAGATCCTCTGCCCTGGCCACGTTCATCCCCACCTGCCCCTGGTCCAGCCTCCCCTGACCCTCAGTGCTCAGAAGCACCCCCCCCCCAGGCCTGGGGCTCTCCAGCCTTCCTAGGAGGAGGCTCTCACGTGGGGGTGTGGCTGATTCTACTCAGGTTTCTACAAACCGAACACCCCCAAACTGGAGCGATTCCAGCAACACCTGGGGCTCATTGTGCATCGCGTGCTCCCCTCCCTGGAGAAACACCTGGTAAGTTAAGCATCTCCTTTCTCCTCTTGGGGGCTCTGGGCTCATGGGACTGCTTCCTGAGCCAGGGGAGGCCATGACCTCACAAAAACTTTCCTTGGTTACTGGGGTCCGCGGCAGCTTGGGTGTTGGTTTGTTTTCCAGCACTTGGTCCCCCAGAGTTGGCGTAGATTGAAGGGAGACGCTGTCCCCAGAGCAGAGTGGAAGGAGGGACCTGTGTCCCTTCAGGAACCTGCATGGCTGGGAGGGGGGATGCCCCTGCTGCTGGGCTTCCTGCACCCAGGGGCTCTGCCCCAGGGCTCAGATTAGAGGGAGTCAGGCCTGGGCCCTGGGCCCTGGGCCCTGAGCCCCCTCTGCCTCTGCCTCTTCTTAGGAGAAGGAGGGTGTGTGCCTGGAGGACTCCACCACCCACTGGTACATCCAGTGCTTCCTGGATGGGGTAAGTGCCCCGGGGACCCCTTGCCCAGGGAAGCTCCTGCCCCAGTGCCTGGTTCTCTGGTGCTGGTGGCCTGTGACTCTGAGCTCCCCCAGCCCCAGCAGACACAGGAGGGAGCCTGCTGTGCAGACCAGGCAGGCCCTGTCCAGCCCTGCTAAGGGTGGTCCAAGCTGAGGCTGAGCCTCAGAGCCAGCAAGGAGGGGACAGGTTCACCAGGACCCATCCTGAGAGCCTGGCAAAGGCCAGAGCCCTACAGTGAGAGGCAGGAGATCCATAGACCCCCCGAGGCAGAGGCTGGTGGCAGCACAGCCCAAGGGCTGAGCCCTCCCCAGGTCCCTGGGGTGTCTGGCATCTCCAGTGTGGCTTCCAAAGTGTGCAGACCCCCAGGGTCCAGGACAGGACATGGTCATCCTCTGTGGGTCTGGTTCGCTGAGTGGGCAGGGATGTGGCCATGAGGCATGGCCTCCCCTCCCCTCCCAGGAGGAGCTCTGGCCTTCTTGTGTGATCAGCCTCCTGGAGTCTCCCTCTGTCCTAGGGGAGTGACACTGCACACCCACCCCTGTGGGCCCTGCTGAGGCCCTGACGGGCGGGTCCTCCAATGCCTCTGTCCCCAGGTGCCGTTCCCCCTGGCTCTGAGAATATGGGATATATACATCCTGGAGGGCGAGCACGTGCTCCCGGCCATGGCATACACGGCCCTCAAGATCCATCAAAGTGAGTCCTCAGGGCCCACAGAGGCCCGGGTGCTGGGGATGGAGGATCTGGGGGTCCCCTGCCTGTCCCTCGTGAGCAGGGCTTGAGGGAGGGATGAGGGGGTTTGGGAGGCCTGGGTTCCCTTCAGGAGGGCACTGAGAATCCCCCTGTTGCATCCCCAATCCCAGGCCCCCACAGACCACAAGGAGAAGTGGCCAGGGTCATCGCACTGGAAATTGGCCCCTGAGCAGTCCCTCTAGTGGTTGGCGTGACACCCAAGGGTGTCCAAGGGTGTCTGCAGCCCATGTCTGGTGCTGGGACAGGGCTTGGAGCAGCCATGGTGGCTGCGCCATCCCTAGGGCCCCTCCCAGCCTGACACCCACCCCCATGTCTAGAGCGCCTGCTGAAGATGCCCCGGGACCACCTCCGGGAGTTCCTGCAGGTGACCCTGAAGCAGGCCTGGTCTCTGAGCGAGGACGCGGTCATCAGGCAGCTGCGGGCCTCCATGCGTGAGCTGGGGAAGCTCCAGTGCCTCCTGCCTCCCGAAGGTGAGTCCAGCACACGGCCCCGTCCCATGCTCCCTTGGGGGAGTCAGTAGTGGGAGTGCCAGGCCCTGACATCCCCGCCCAGGGCCTCACCTCTTCCTGGTCCTCCTTGTCCTCCCGACTCAGAAGTTCTGCTTTCTGAAGCTCTGTCAGCATGGCCTGGCGGGGCCTCGGGCAGCTTCCCAGAATCCTCCTGTGGGTGCCGGCTCTCCCCCCACCACTCTGGGGCCGGGCCGTGGAGCTGTCCTCAGGACATTTGTGGCTCTGGCTCCTTGGCTGACCCCCACTCTGGAGTGGATTGGAGGCCCCGCCTTGAGCTACCCTGCCCAGGTCTGGAGCAGGTGCCCTGGCTCAGTGCCCCCAGGAGCCTGGAGCACAGCTGGACCCCCACTCCAGCAAGATGAGAAGTGGCCCTGCCTGACCCCACACAGGCTCCTGGCCCGATGACCACAGCTGTCTGCACACAGGACCCTCCAAGACAGGGGTGGGCGGGGCTCCCACCTGCATGTGGGCAGGGCTAGAGGGAGGTGGGGCTGTGGGAGACCCTGTGCAGTGATGTAAAGCCTGCCGGCACTGGATCCCCTTCAGCCATCTGAGAACCCCTGGAAGGCCCAGGTGCCCTGAGCCCAGTTGTGGGGGCCAAGTGCACTCCTGCGAGCAGGGCTGGGCACAGAGGCAGGCGCTGGGGGCCCCTGCTGCAGAACACAAGAGTGTGGGCTCTGCAGCCCTAGCCTCGGGCCAACAGAAGGCAGCGGGACCCGGAGCATCGCTGGCTTCTGGGCTCTAGTGGGGAGGGGTCCCCGTGCTCGTCCCCTGCTGCTGCTGCCATCATGGACCTGAGCGCCTGGGTCCCCATGCAGAGCAGAGATGGGCTTGTCCCAGCTCTAGAGGCTCTAAGTGGAGGTCCAGGTGCAGGCTGTCCAGGCACTGGGGAGGCCCCACTGCGCCTCCAGATGCTGCCTCCCTGGGTGCTCCTGGGACAGTAGCGGTGACAGCCCAGTCTCACCAGGAAAGAGACAGTGGCCCAGGGGCAGAGGACACAGGGCACCCCTGCCACCTCTTTAGAAACTGCATTCCCTGTCCCCAAGGGCCTGAACCGGACTCCATGTCTGCCCCACAGCCCCAGCTCTCACCCCATCATCTTAGGCTCAGTTCCTTTCCAGCCATGTAGGAGGGACTCAGATGCGGGAAATTCAGCCAATGCACTGTTAGGGCGCAGCAGGTCAGGTGGGGGAGGGGACGGGGTCCTGAGTTGGTGCTTTAGTCCCCAGAGATGAGAGTGAGGCAAGGAGTTCAGGGCCATCCACCCTGTGATGGCTGTGCAGGAGGAGCCGGTGGTGTCCCAGGGCTCCCCTGGCCCGGGCTGCACACACCCTCCCGTCTGGGGCCAGCAGCCTGGAAGAGTCCTCAGCGTCACACGTGGTGATGGGGACCCCAGGATGAGGTCGGGGCAGGCACCCTGCAGGCCAGACGGGGGCTGTGGAGAAGCAAACCGCGTCTCTTCTTCTTCCAGCCAAGGCCATCGAACAGTGCAGCAGGCCCCTGGGGCAGGCACGCGTCCCCCAGATGCACGTTCCTGCCCCCACTGCTCCGAAGGCCAAAATCACCATTCAGGACACAGTGGCAGTGTGGGAGCAGACCAGGGGTCCCGCTACCCGTGCAGTGATGATCCGTCCTCCAGAAAGCTTTGGCCTCCGCATCACCAAGAGGGAAGGCATGGAGGAGGAGGAGAGCTGGGAAGGCAGCCCAGAGCCCCTCGGCCTGGGCTCCCCTGTGGGGACCGCAGAGTCTCCAGGTTCTGCCAGCCCCACGGAGTCTCCAAAGTGCTCGAGGTGGGGAGGCCTGTGCCAGTGCGCCAGTCTCCCTAACCTGAGCGGGCCAGAGCACAGGGAGGACGACTCCTCCGACGCTGGCAGCCGGGAGGGCCTGTGGATGTGGGCTCCTCCACGGGCCTCAGAGTCCCCGGAACCAGGGCCCATGCAGGCTGTCCCTGCCTGGGGGCCACGGCTGAAGACTCCCCACTACTGGCATGGCAGCCCCACGCACTCTGGGGACAGTCACGGGCTGGAGCCGGCCAGAGCCAGCCCTGGGCTGGGAGACCAGGCCCGCGTGCCCTCCCTGGCCAGAGGCCTCCTTACCTCCTATTCCACAGGGCACCTGGATGATGGGTGCCTCCTAGAAGAGAGGCCGAGTCCAGCATCTGTCCTGCCCAGGCTGGGCAGCAGCCTTCCGTGTGTCTTCACGGCATCCTATGCACTTGGTTGAGCCCCCACCGCCCAGGCTCTTCCTGGGGCCAGGACACCCTGACACTGGAAGACAACAGCCATGCCAGGAGCCACTGTACTCTCCTCCCCGCCCCCCTCCCCCACCGCCACCCTCAGGTGGTGCTGAGCCTGTATTAAATTGTCCCATGGAAAGGAGTTTGCTCCAGTTTGTGACCCCGGTGCCCAGCGGCAGCAAGCTTCCCCGTGTTCCTGGGGAGATGGGTGGTTCCACAGCCCCCAGCCCCAGGCAGAGACCCACTCAGGACCCTGCAGACAATGCCTGAGATTCAGCTGTGCCCTGTGGGGACTGGGCCAGGGTGGGAGAGCAGCAGCCGTGAGTGCCCGTGACCTCTGGGACAGATCAGCACAATAGGAACAGCTGTGGTTGGAGGGCCTGTGTCACCTCTGTGCTCTCCCCTAGACCTGGGCGGCCGTGGCTGCAGCATCCCTGGCTTGACCCCACATGGCTCTCCCACGTGGGAGAGGATGTGCACTGTGGGCTGGGAGGCGACCAGTGGCCAGAGTACGTCTACTGCCCAACTGACCAGGTGTTGGTAGCGTAGGCAGGAGGCACATTTGATAGAATCGCATGGATTCTCGGTGGAGGTGAGAGGGACTTGCTCTCGGCTGTGCCTGTGTGTGAACACCACGGGAGTAGAGCCCTTGGCCCTGGGACTCAGAGAGGTTCTCCAGGAAGGGCTGCCGCAGCGCGCTGGAGGGGCCTGGTCTGTGTGCTGAGCTCATGTGCTGTGGGCGGGAAGGGCCCTAGCACGCAGGTCACCTTGCTCTCCCACAAGCACCACTGTCAGAGGTGATCTCTGTGGCCGTGTAGCCACAGCTCTCAGCCGGGCACGCGGGCCATGGCTCACCTGAAATGCAGGGGCGGCTCCAGAGCCCTGTAAGGACTGGCGGTGAATTCGCAGACTCAGCATTTCCCAGCTCCTGCCCGGCTCCTGTCTCCCAGGACACAGATGAGGCCCCGCGATGTCTCTAAAGGTTGACCTGAGGGACTCGAAGTCCTGCCGGACTCCCAGGTGCCATGAGCAGTGCTGCTGAGCTGGCCTCTGCCTGTACCCCCAGCCACCCCTAACAGAGGACTCAGACCTGGGGGTTTAGGGGGCACAGGAAGCCAGAGCTGGTTTAGGGAGACCTCAACTAAAATCCGGAATGGGGAACCCCTGATGCTTCGGGAAGAGGCTTTCTCAGAAACCCTTCAGGGACATTGGAGGGCATTTCGCTGAAGTTGGAGGGGAGTCCTGGCCACTCTGTGTGGCAATAGCAAAATACCTGAAGCCGCGTTGCTTAGAAAATGAAAGAAGTTCACTTTGCCTGTGGCTTGACCAGCCCGAGAGCGTGGCACGGCATCAGCTTCTAGTGAGGGTCTCATGGCAGACAGCATCCCCCAGCAGGAGCCCGAGTGAGATGGGGCTGGAGGAGGACTGGGCCCTGTCCCTGATGACAACCCCAGGGCAGGCAACGTGGGGAAGACACCACTGGGCACGTGCATCCCCTCCTGGACCACCCGGGGTCCATCCCCTGCCTCGGCCCCTGAGTCCAGCTTCTTCCACATGTGCACTGTTGCCGTTGATTTCTCAACAATATTGCAGTGGAGTTGTTTCTGAGAGGAGGAGCCTGGTGGCGGCTAGAGGCATGGAGTCACCACACAGACGCCGGGAGTCGGTGAAAGTGGGCTTGAGGCAAGCAGCCCGCAGACTCGTTTATTTCAGTTAGTACAACAGCTTATATAGCCAAGACAGCCAATCCGGTCATGGGGTGGTTTATACCCTAACCAATCACAGCCTGTTGTCAGGCAGTATTGGAAGCCATCCAATCACAGCCTGTTGCCAGGCAGGCTCCACTGCCAGGTGGGATTCAAAGCCATTCCTGAATAACTGACGCTCGCTTGCCAGCGGCCATCTTGACATGGCCTTCTCATTCCACCACATTTCCCCCTTTCATTTATTTTTGAGCAATGGGAGGCATGATTTTTGGCCATACCATTGTTGACCCTGTGTCCATGTGGTCTCTGTACGCGGCTGTGCCTGTCTTAGGTTGTCCCCCAGGGGATCTTACCCGTCGTTGACTAAACAGTGCTCAACACAGGAGACCACTGGTGTGCTTGCTCAGATGGGGTAGGAATGAGGAAGAATGGTAACCAGGAATTGTGTGACCACACACAGGCTGTGGGCCATTTGAGTGGCTGACTAGAGCTAGTGGGGTATGAAGCATTAATGGATGTGGCTATGGGCAGTTTCCCAGGGTAGGATGATAGGGCAGGTGCGTCTGCTAACAAGGCTGACTCTCAGTCTTGTTCAGCTGGTTCTGGTTGGCTGTCAGTTGCAGGCTGGATGTTTCTGGCTGGTACCCAAATGGGCTGTGCCGCATTCTCTGGAAAGACACAAGCATATCCTCGACCTTTGGTTAGAGAGGGTGTGGCCCCTTCCATTCTCCTGTCAGGGGTATTTCCACCTAACCATAGGGGCCGGGGTCTGGGATGGAAAGGATCCCCAGTGTTTATAAACTGGGCTGACCCCTTGGAATCAAAAGGAAGAAACTTGATAGTGAAAAGGACCTCAGTCAAAGCAAGCTGTGGGTCTGGGGACATACGGTTGTTTTTCTGTCCTTGTAAGAGATCTTTAATCGTCCTATGAGTTCTTTCAATGATTGCCTGCCCCTGTGGCTTGTATGGGATACCTGTGGCAGACTGTATGTTCCAGGACCTCAGGAAGGAATTAAATTCCTGTGGTGTATATGCTGGCCCATTATCAGGCTTTATTGTCCAGGGGACACCGAGGACCAGCAGGGCTGACTTAACCGCCTTTATCACATTTCTAGCCTTTTCTCCGGATTGGGCTGCTGCAAATACAGCCTTTGAATACGTATCTCCCACCACATGGACAAACATAAGTTGACCAAAGGAGTTAATGTGGGTGACGTCCACTTGCCAGAGCTTCTAAGGAGCAAGTCCTCGCGGGTTGACTCCTGCTTGTAGCAGTGGGCCTGACGGGGCGAGGGGGCACAATTCTTGCAAGAGTGCACTAGGTGTTTGCATTGGCTCATTGTTAGCTCCGGGAAAAGTGATTTTGTGTTGCTTTCTGCCATATGAAGTTTTTGGTGTAGAATAGGGGCTTGTTCTAGGTGTCTGATGGCAGCCATGTTGCAGGAGATAAGATGATCGACCTTTTCGTTGCCTTGGGAAACTCACATAACAAGCAGAAGTATGACCTGCAAACTGACATAAGCACAGCAATGGAGTTTTTTTTCTGAACTTGAGCCTTGAAGGATCAAAATTGAAAGTATGCATCAGGAACTGAACCTCACCTGTGTTTAGATGGGGCCTGCTGAGTGGGAGAAGTCCTCATGAACTCATTATGTCAGAGTTCTCAGGGCTCCCTGGGTGGTTTGAAGTGCCCCGTGCCTCCATCAGCACCGGCAAGCGGAAGCGGGAGAGAGACATCTCCCCAGACTGAGCTGTCCTGAGCCCTTCCGGCCCCCGAGGGCTGCAGCTCTACAGGCCCGCGTGTGGGGTCAGCCAGGGGCGGTGCTGCTCTGCCTAGACCCTCCAGAGAGCTCCCCCAGCCTCTGATGCAGGAGCACAGTGTGTTGGCTCCAAGGACTTGGGCCATCTTCTACTGCCTTCCCAGGCCATAGCAGAGAGCTGGATGGGAAGTGGAGCAGCCGGGACTCAAGCTGGCTCCCATATGGGATGCCAGCACTGCAGGTGGAGGCTTTATCTCACTATACCACAGCCACAGCACCGGCCCCAGCTTCCTGTGTTTAAAAAGGAATTATTGGGGCCGGCGCAGTGGCCCATGGTTAACGCCCTGGCCTGAGGCACTGGTGTCCCATATGGGCACCGGTTCTACCCAGCTGCTCCTCTTATGATCTAGCTCTCTGCTATGGCCTGGGAAAGCAGTAGAAGATGGCCCAAGTCCTTGGGCCCCTGCACCCGTGTGGAAGGCACAGAAGAAGCTCCTGGTTCCTTGCTTCAGATTGGCTCAGCTCTGCCTGTTGCAGCCATCTAGGGAGTGAATCAGTGGTTGGAAGAGACCTCTCTCTCTCTCTCTCTGTCTCTTTCTCTCTCTGCCTCTCTGTAACTACGCCTTTCAAATAAATAAATAAATATGTAAAAAGCAAAACAAAAAAAAATATGTGACAGTCACAGAAAGAATTCTCTTGATCATGGGCTCTGAAGATTGTCCTGCTCAAAATACTATAGACAAAATAACCAACAGTAAAGAAATACTATAGACTTCTAAAAATTAATCAGATTCAAGAATTTTGAATCAGCAGTGCATGGTAGAAGCCCTGATGATAAGTGTCAAAGTCAATTAATTATAGGAAGTAAGTCTGGGTAATTACTCTATTTTTTTTTCTTTGACAGGCAGAGTGGACAGAGAGAGAGAGAGAGAGAGAGAGAGAAAGGTCTTCCTTTGCTGTTCGTTCACCCCCCAGTGGCTGCTGCGGCTGGTGCACTGCGCTGATCTGAAGGCAGGAGCCAGGTGCTTCTCCTGGTCTCCCATGGGGTGCAGGGCCCAAGCACTTGGGCCATCCTCCACTGCACTCCCGGGCCACAGCAGAGAGCTGGCCTGGAAGAGGGGCAACCGGGACAGAATCCGGTGCCCTGACCAGGACTAGAAACCGGTGTGCCGGCGCCGCAGGCAGAGGATTAGCCTAGTGAGCCTCGGTGCCGGCCTGGATAATTACTCTAGATAAAGACACTGTAGGGGCTGGCACTGTGGCGTATTGAGTAAACCCGCTGCCTGCAGTGCCGGCCTCCCATATGGGCACTGGTTCCAATCCAGCTCTCTCTCTCTCTCTCTCTCTCTTTTAAAGATTTATTTATTTATTTGAAAGAGTTATATAGAAAGATAAGGAGAGAGAGAGAGAGAAAGAGCGAGAAGTCTTCCATCTGCTGGTTTACTCCCCAACTGGCCACAACAGAGTGAGCTATTCCAATCCGAAGCCAGGAGATAGGAGCTTCCTCCGGGTTTCCCACATGGAAACATGCAGAGAGCTGGATTGGAAGTGGAGCAGCCGGGACTGGAACCAGCACCTCTGCTGTGGCCTGGGAAAGCAGAAGATGGTCCAAGCCCTTGGGCCCCTGCACCCGCATGGGAGACTGGTAAGAAGCTCTTGGCTCCTGGCTTCAGATCGGCACAGCTCTGGCTGTTGCGGCCAACTGGGGAGTGAACCAGCGGATGGAAGACCTCTCTCTCTTCCTGCCTCTGCTTCTTCTCTGTGTAACTCCGACTTTCAAATAAATAAATAAATCTTTTTTTTAATTATTATTTTTTTTTGACAGGCAGAGTGGACAGTGAGAGAGAGAGACAGAGAGAAAGGTCTTCCTTTGCCGTTGGTTCACCCTCCAATGGTCGCCACGGCTGGCGCGCTGCGGCCAGCGCACCGCACTGATCAGATGGCAGGAGCCAGGAACCAGGTGCTTTTCCTGGTCTCCCATGGGGTGCAGGGCCCAAGCACCTGGGCCATCCTCCACTGCACTCCCTGGCCACAGCAGAGAGCTGGCCTGGAAGAGGGGCAACCGGGAAAGAATCCGGCGCCCCGACCGGCTGGCCTGCCAGGTATGTAGCCTGCTTCCTCGCCCCCCCCCCCCTAGCACCAGGTGAACACCATGCTCCCCATCAGCAGCTTCCTGCCTGACTCGCAGGCGCACACCTGTTCTTTCCCAAGGTCCTCCTGGGAGGACGTCAAGCACACACCTGTGGGGCCTTGTAGAATCAAGCTTTTTTTTTTTTTCTTGAATTTTTATTTTTTTAAAGGTTTACTTGAAAGTCAGTTACCGAGAGAACTGAGCTTATTTTTTTAAAACTGGAGGCTTACCTGAACATCTTGCTCCCCCAAGTACAGAACCTAACAATTCCCATGCTCTCTCTAATCTGGTCTTCTACTTTTGTTGGTTGCCCCAATCAGCCAATTAACACATTTCTACATAGAGCTTAAGAAACGTTGCCCCCCAACCCCCCATTGAAATACTAAGGAATTCAGCTGTAAAAGCTTCTAGGCCCAACATTTTTTGGGGGGTGTCGATGTTTCTTTCATTTTTTTAAAAAAATTTTATTTATTTATTTAAGTGCTAGATAGAGAGGGAAAGACAGAAAATTCTTCCATCGGCTGGTTCACTCCCCAGATGGCTGGAGCTGGGCCAATCAGAAGCCAGGAGCTTCTTCTGGGTCTTCCACTTGGGTGCAGGGGCCCAAACACTTGGGCCATCTTCTGCTGCTTTCCCAGGCCATAAGCTGAGACCTGGATCAGAAGAGGAACAGCCGGGACTTGAACCGGTGCCCATATGAGATTCTGGTAGCAACGCAGGCCGAGGGTTGAAAGCCACAGCGCCGGCCTGTTTACCTTCGTCTTTAGGGGACATTATTCTTCCTGCTTGTCTGCCGGATGACTCCTGTCCCGGACAGTACTCAGAGCCAAGCTTGGCTGCGCTTCCTGGGGGTCGTCTCCTGCAACTCGGAACCCCGCGGAGAGCCCTAACTGGGAGACAGAGCCTTCCAAGTGAGAACTCTGGTGGCTGCTTCAGTCACAGGAGCTGCAGACCCCGGCCCACTCAGAGGACGGGGTCGTGCACACTTCCGCTAAGACAGCAAGCCCCGCACAGAGACCTGGGGAGCGCGGCCCGCTGGACGCTGGGGGTGGACAGCCCAGCAGGCCCCGCGCGCTCCCGGCGGGGAGGCCAGCCCAGGTCCCCAAGCCCCCGGGCGCCCCGCGGCCCAGGAAGCGAGCCGCGCGCCAGGACCGCGGGACCCCACGCCCCTCCCCGCCGCACGGCGGCGCTGCGCAAGGCCGGCCGTTGTCCGGGGCCGTTGGGCGCCCACGTGGCTTCTGGACGCCTGGAGGCCGGCGCGGGGGCGGGCGCCATTACGAGAGGCCGGGGGCGCGGGGTGGAGCCCACGAGGAGCCCAGAGCGCGCCCGCGGCGGCGGCGTCGGGTGGGAAGACGAGGCGCGGCACTGGGGGGCGTGGCGGCCGGCCTGCAGGCGGGGGCGCGTCCAGGGCAGGAAGCTGGAGTCCCCGTGGAGCTGGTGGGCGCGGCCCCCGCAGAGGCCTGAGGCGTCCGGCGCGATGGCAGGGGCCGCCCCCGGGGCGGCGGCAGGGGCCGCGCGGCTCGCCACGCCCGCCACGCCCGCCACGCCCGCCGCCGGGCGCGTCGTCCAGGGCGAGCGGGCCAGAGGCGCGGCGAAGATGCTCGAGGTCCTGGTGCTCAAGGTGAGCGAGCGGCCCGCGCACGGACGGTCGGGCCCGGGTCGGTGCAGGCGGGAGGCTGGAGTGCGGGTGGGGGTCGCTTCAGAAGGGGGCGCGTGCGCTGTTCCCGACGACCCCGGAGGGCGGTTGCTGCGAGCTGTCTCGCACTAGGTGTGCGTGCCTGACTCGGGCACGTTGGCAGGTGTGTCGGTGCCCCGCACACCCCAGCCCACGTCCGCCCTAGGTCAGGGCCCCTCGCGGGGAACCGTGGACCTGGCTCCCGCCCCTCCCCCGCCGCCCGCCGCCCTCGGGGCTCGGCTTCCGGACCCCCGCCCCCCGCCGCCCTCTCCTCACGCGGGTGTCCTGGTCCCCGGGGCGGGCATGGGCCGCCACCTTGGAGACTTGAGTTGCTGGGAGGGCTCCCGAGGAAGCCGGAGGGGAGGCGCTGGAGGAGGGAGTTTACAAACCGGAGCCAGAGTGTGGGATGGGGAGGGGCGCCGCGAAGGAGGGGGATGGGTGGTGTTTGTGTTCTGTGGATTCACCCGACCAGAGCGTCACACACCCCCGAAGCCGCTGACTCCTTGCAAGGAGGCCTGGCTCTCAGACTTTTCAATCTGTTTTATTTACTTGACAGAGTTAGAGACAGTGAGAGACACAGACAGAGGGACAGAAAGGTCTTCCTTCCTTTGGTTCACCCCACAAATGGCCGCCACGGCCGGCATGCTGCGCCGATCTGAAACCAGGAGCCAGGTGCTTCCTCCTGGTCTCCCATGCGGGTGCAGGGCCCAAGCACTTGGGCCATCCTCCACTGCCCTCCCGGGCCACAGCAGAGAGCTAGACTAGAAGAGGAGCAACTGGGACTAGAACCCGGCGCCCATATGGTTCGCTGGCGCCCCAGGCAGAGGATGAACCAAGTGAGCCATGGCGTTGGCCCCTGGCTCTCAGACTTTGAAGGGATTTCAGGTCTCCCTGGGAGGCTCCTCTGCACTCCTCAGATGTTATCCATCAGTCCTAAATATGTCAGTCCCAATTCCTTCCTGTGAAAGGGCTCTCACCCATCCTGCCACGTGCACGCCCGTGGGTGCAGGACTTGGGCAAGAAGTGCTGGGCTCGTGCCCTCCTGCTTGGGAACCCGTGTGTGTGTTGGGCCCTGGAACCTGCTTGTGTCTCCCCTCAGCTCTGCCCGGCCTCCACTTATGACTGCGACCTGGCTCACCCTTGGAGCAAATCTTCTGTCCCTTATAGGAGTATTTGCCCCAGTGAGGTCCAGGTTCCGGCTGTCCTGATCCAGATTGATGTGGCATTTCCATGGATACGGTGCCCCCTCCCACCCTGTGCCCATCAACAGGTGATGGGGTACCCTCAGGGTGGTGTGCATGGAGGATGGGAAATTATTTAGCTTTCACATTAGTTAGTTTTGAGGTGTCCTCTTACACGTGAGGATGTCATATGAAGTGAGGTGAGCCAAGCAGAAAGGCCCACGTGCTGTATGATTCTGTGGGCGAGTTGAATGGCAGCTGCCAGAGGTTGGGTTTGTGCGTACAGGGCAGAGATTCACTTTTGCAAGGTGAAGAATTCTGGAGATGGCTGGTGCTCGCGGTTGCACAACAGTGCCAGTCTACGTAATGCTACTGAACTGTACACTTAAAATTGCCCAAAAGGATGAATTTTATCTGGAGTTTGCCACGACTTTTTAAAAAGATTTACTTGATTCTGTCCCGGTTGCCCCTCTTCCAGGCCAGCCCTCTGCTGTGGCCAGGGAGTGCAGTGGAGGATGGCCCAGGTGCTTGGGCCCTGCACCCCAAGGGAGACCAGGAGAAGCACCTGGCTCCTGGCTCCTGCCATCGGATCAGCGCGGTGCGCCGGCCGCAGCGCGCTGGCCGCGGCAGCCATTGGAGGGTGAACCAACGGCAAAGGAAGACCTTTCTCTCTGTCTCTCTCTCTCACTGTCCACTCTGCCTGTCAAAAAAATAAAATAAATAAATAAATAAATAAAAATAAATAAATAAAAATAAAAAGATTTACTTATTTGAATAACAGAATGACAGAGACCAACAGAGAGGGAGATCTTCCATCCACTGGTCCATTCCTCAAATGGCCGCAACAGCCAGATCTGGCAGAGTCTGAAGCCAGGAACCAGGAACTCCATCCGGGCCTATCATGTGGGTGGCAGGGGTCCAAGCACTGGGACCCCGAGGCACATTCCCAGGGAGCTGGATCAGAAGTGGAACAGGCGGGACTCGAACTGGTTCTTGGTGGTCATGAGACAGGAACCCGGCAGAGAAGAGAAGCAGCGACCCAGAAGACAGCGGCCTCCCTGAGTGACGCAGACAGAGGCGAGAGCTGTACCTGGAGAGCCGCATCACCAGGAGCCCTGTAGCAGGGCAGCTGTGCTGTTCCTGAAGAGTCCGGCCTGCAGGAGACTCTGCCACATCTGGCGGGGCCGAGACCTCTCCTGGCTAAGGAGGGCCGAGAAGAGCTGTTGGCTGCCAGGAATGGGAGGAGGGCTCGCACGCCCCAGCTGGTTAGGTGCCGCGTGTGATGTCTGCATCGCACCTCAGGGTGCCTGTTCAGATCTGACCGCTCAGCTTCTGGTCCAGCTTCCCGTGTGCTCACATGGGAAGGCAGCGTATGATGGCCCAAGTACTTTGACCCCTGCCCCTGTGTAGGAGGTCAGAGTGGAGTTCCTTCCCTCCTCCCAGACTTGGCTGTTGTGGGCATTTGGGGAGTGAACCAGCAGATGGAAGAGCTCTCTCCCATCCCCCACCTTGCTCTTGCTGTCCATCTCTCTCTGTCACTCTGCTTTTCAAATACATAAGTACACACAGCATATATGAGGAAAGCAGCCCGGGCCACACACTTCTGTGTTTGAAATCTGGGAGGCCGTAGCACCCTGATGGCTGGGCACGTGGCCTTGGAGCAGTGGCAGAAAGCAGTAGTCCTCGGCCTTCCCTGGGAAGCTCCTGGAGGAACTGGCAACTAGAACTGTGTGTGTTGCTGTCTGGAAAAACTGGGCCCGGCTTGCATTTTACAGGTTTTAGAAGCAGATTTTTTTTTAAATGAAACATTCTAGCAGCCTCAACATTTAACATTAAAAAATTATTTATGTATTTTCATTGGGAAAACAGGTCAGCAGAGTTCTTCCATCTGCTGGTTTACTCCAGAATGCCCACAGCAGCCAGAGCTGGGCCAGGCCAAAGCTGGGAGCCTAGAGCTCAGTCCTGGTCTCCCACATGGGTGACAGCGGCACAGTGCTCGAGCCATCATCTGCTGCCTGACCAGTAGGCACGTTGGCAGGAAGCTGGATTGGTGGTTGTGTGGCCTTGATGTGAACCAGGTACTCTGAGTATCCCAAGCCGTGACCTGACTGCTGCCCCAAACGCCCACCCCTAAGAATGCTTTGTAAACGTCTTTCCTAAATTACTCTTTGGAAAATTTCCAAACACAAAAACAGCATCATGAATGCCTGTGTGTACTACACCCACACTAACTGGTTGGTAACGCTTTGCTGCGTTTGCACTTCAGAAATATGTGTATGTAAAAATTACTTTTTCTTTTTTGGTTGAGCCATTTGAGAATGAGTCTAGAACTCAGAGCACTTAAGTGATTTTTCTAGGAACAAAGCCTTCCTCTTATAGAACTATAATGTAATCATCACACTTGAGAAATTTAATGTTGGTGCAAGTCTGTTACCTGATACACAGTCTGTACTCCCTTTGTCCTGATAAGGTCTACTGTAGCTTGTTTTCTCTGATAAAGAACCCAGAACTACACACTGCATTTAATTGTCATGGCCTTGTAGAGTTCATTCAGGCAGTACATTGGTCTATCTTTGATGATACTGAAATTTCTGAAGAATAAGGGCAGTCACTTTGCAAAGTATTCCTCAATAATTATAACTATATTAATATATTTAGGTTAGACACTTTTAGTAAAAATGCTACATAAGTTATGCCACGTCAGAGGACAAGATGTTTTAAAAAAAAAAATTGATGCTGGGGCCAGCATTGTGGTATAGCAAGGTAAGCTACCACCTGTGATGTCAGGACCCCATATGGGCACCTGTTCAAATCTCGTCTGCTCCACTTAAGATCTAGCTCCCTGCTAATGTGCCTGGGAAAGCAACAGAAGATGACACAAGTGCTTGGGCCTCTGCCACCCATGTGGGAGACCCAGATGAAGCTCTTGGCTTCAGCCTGGTCCAGCCCTGGTCATTGCAACCATTTGGGGAGTGAGTGAATTGGTGGGTGGAAGATCTCTCTCTGCCCCCCTCTCTGCCTCCCTCCCTCTCTAACTCTGCGTTTGAAATAAATAAGTAAATCTTTTTTAAAAATTCAGATTAATTTAAAAATTTTAACTTTTTATTAGAAAATACATTGGAGATGCAGAAAAGTGTGGAAAATAGTATCAATATTGGGACACCCACCAAACTCTTATTTATTTGAAAGGTAGAGACACAAGGAGAGACAGAGCTCTCCCATCCCTTTGTTCACACCCCAGATGCCCACAGTAGCCAAGGCGGGGCCAGGCCAAAGCTTGGAGCTGGGAACTCACCCTGAGTCCCCCACACTGAGGACAGGGACCCAGTCACTCAAGCCATGGTCAAGAGGCCTCCTAGAGTGTGCACTGATTAGCAGCAAGCTGGAATCGGCATCAGAACGTGCACGGAAACCTAAGCACTCCCATGTGGAACGCAGACCCTGCCTGAGGATTCACTGCTATGACAAAAGCCCACCCCTATTTTTTAATTGATGTATAATTTATTTACAGAAAAATTCATTCCTTTTTGTGTAGACTTCTGTATTTTGAAAAATGCATAGCATCGTGAAATCACCCCAACAGTCAAAATGCAGAAGCATTTCCTCACTTCCCCATATTCCCATGATGAAGCTCCTTTGTAGCTGTATCTTTCTCTACCTGTAATGCTTTATAAAGAAGATTGTTTTCTGCTGCTATTAGTTTTTCTTTTCTAGAATGTCACAGAAATGGGTGCCTGCAGAATCCCAGAGCAGTAGTGGCCTTTCACTGTGGCTTCTTCAAAGACGACACATTGGATACTGCTTTGTGTTGCTGCATAGGGTCAGTGGCAGAGTAGTATTCCGTTGTGTGCACACACAGCAGTTTATACTCACAGGCCACTTGAGTTGTTTCAGTTTAGGGAGATGATGAACAACACTGCTATAATCTTTGCCTACAGGTAGTTGTATGGACTCGAGTTCATTTCATTTGGGAGAATAACTAGGATGGAATTGCTTGTGTTTTAACTTTATGAGAAACTGATGGACTGTGTTCCAGCATAACTGCCTTTTTGCATTTCTGTCAAAAATGTCTGAGTTCCCTTTTTCTCTCTCTCACTGTCTGACTTTGCCTGTCTAATAAAAGGGGGGGGGGGCGCAGCGCCGTGGCTCACTTGGTTAATCCTGCACCTGCAGTGCCGGCATCCCATGTGGGCTCTGGGTTCTACTCCCAGTTGCTCCTCTTGCAGTCCAGCTCTCTGCTGTGGCCCGGGAAGGCAGTGGAGGATGGCCCAAGTGCTTGGGCCCTGCACCCGCATGGGAGACCAGGAGAAGCACCTGGCTCCTGGCTTCGGATCGGCGCAATGCGCCGGCCATAGCAGCCATCTGGGTTGTGAACCAACGAAAGGAAGACCTTTCTCTCTGTTTCTCTCACTAACTCTATCTAATAATAAAAAAAAAAGTATGAGTTCTATTTGCTCTTCATCCCTGTATACAGTTAGTATTGTAAGGTTTTTTGTTTGTTTGTTTTTTAAAGATTGATGATTTTGACAGAGTTAGAGATCTTCCATCTGCTGGTTCACTCTTGAATTGGCCACAAAGGTGGGAGCTGGGCCAGGCCAAAGCCAGGAGCCCCGACTCCATCTGGGTCTCCTTTATGGGTGCAGGGGCTCAAGCGCTTGGGCCATCCTCCACTGCTGTCCCAGGCACATTACATTACAGGGAGGTGGATTGGAAGTAGAGCAGCTGTGACTGGAACCCACGCCCTTTCTCCAGCGCCAGCCTCACCTGATGGCTGTAGACTCACAGCTGAGACTTGGACTTGAGGTCGGATAGTGAGTCCTCCAGTTGTGTTCTTCTTTCTCATGATTATTTAGGCTGTTCTAATTCCTTTGTCTTTTTTTTAAATAAAAGATTTATTTTTATTTATTTGAAAGTGAGAGTTACAGAGAGAGGTAGAGCCAGAGAGAGAGGTCTTCCCTCTGCTGGTTCACTCCCCAAATGACTGCAACACCTAGAGCTTATCTGATCTGAAGCCAGGAGCTTCTTCCAGGTCTCCCACGCAGGTGCCGGGCCCCAAGGACTTGGGCCATCTTCTGCTGCTTTCCCAGGCCATAGCAGAGAGCTGGATCGGAAGTGGAGCAGCCAGGACTCCAACCGACGCCTATATTTTTTGCCGCCGCTGCAGGCTGTGGCTTTAACCCGCTGCACCACAGCACCAGCCCCTAATTCCTTTGTCTTTCCAAGGAGGATCTCATTATTAGCATGCTGATTTGTAACCACCCCTTCCCTGCAAAAATCCATCATTAAACCTGCTGGAATTGTGTTGTATTTCTAGATCACTTCAGGGGAAAACAGCCGTTTCTTAATTATGGCCCCCACAGGTGCTAGGGGGCATCCCACCCCCAGCATTGCGCAGCATCGCATGAACGGCCTCCATTACTGTCAGCCACCCCTCAAGGCGCATAGTCCATGGTGCTGAGGGTCCAGTCGGGCCCTCCGCTGAGGTGGATGGACAACCCCTGCCCCAAGGGTGACCTTTTTCGTTTGATCAGTAATTTTTTTATGATCTTGTCCTCATCACCTATTTGTATACAAAAGTTGCTTAAAATTTTAAAACCAATCTAAAGAGACAAAAACTAAAGGATCGCTGCATTTATTTAACTGGGCAGCTGTTCCCTCAAGCTTCGGCCCTGCGTAAGTCAGTCCACTTCCAGAGTTTCTCTGCAGCCACCGGCCCTGCTGGTCTCTTTAGGGCTGACCCTCCTGTGTCAGAGGCTCAGCTTGTACGGTATTGCTGGATTTGAGCTGCACTCCAGTGTCAGCCCACCTGCCTGTCTGTGTTGTGGTGGGTCCAGGGAGCTATCTTGAGGACTTTGACTGTAGTAGGGGTGGATGGAACAAGGGTCTGTTTATTTCTAAGAGTTTGTTTTATCTGTTTGAAGGCTTTTTTATTTGATTTAAAGATTTTATTTATTTGAGAGGTACAGTTAGGCAGTGAGAGGGAAAGACAGAGATAAAGGTATTCCTTCCGTTGTTTCACTCCCCAATTTGCCACAATGGCCAGAGCTACGCCGATCTGAAGCCAGGAGCCATGAGCTTCTTCCTGGTCTCCCACGCAGGTGCAGGGGCCCAAGGGCTTGGGCCATCTTCTATTGCTTTCCCAGGCCATAGCAGAGAGCTGGATCGGAAGTGGAGCAGCTGGGACTCGAACCAGCGCCCATCTGGGATGCCAGCACTTCAGGCCAGGGTGTTAACCCGCTGCACCATAGCGCCAGCCCCGAGAAGGCTTTTTTACAATAGAGGACTTTTCCCCACTTTGTGGCTTTCTAAGTCTGGAATTTGCAGGTCTAACAAGCAAATTAGATACAACAGGATCTAAAACAAAAAGATTGAATCGTTATTAGAGTACCTAGGAAATGTGTTCTCTAAACCAGGAGCAGGTTTTCTCACAGAGAGAGGCATGTAGGCCTGGCCAGGTACGTATGAGGCCCGACCTCTGTCTTTACATGGGATAGTGGAAGAGACATCATAAGAAAGGTGTGAACCTCTTGAGGGAAGACCCCCTGTTGACTCCATTACCTAGGCGGCCTGGGAGAAGAGCTGGCTTGAACAGGAGGTTAGTACAGAACAGGCGGCACTTCTGAAAGGAAGATTGCAGTCCTGCCTGTCCTGACCCGAGGCCTTGCCCTCAATGGCAGTAGTTATCTTGGAAGCCGGGCAGAGTAAAGGGCTCTTTGAGCTTGGAGCCAGTAGGATCTGTGGTTCTAACCTGGGATCCCTTCAGCCCCAAGGCAATTCCATTCACCCAGCTCTTGACAGAATTTGGTAGAGGCTGGCTTTTTTCAGGATGGCTGTTTGCCCCATCTCCTGGCTTTCCAAATTGAAGCCTGATGCCATTTGGGATGGACTGGCCTCACTGGGTCTCGTTGATGGCAGAACACTGTGTAAAGTAGCTATTAGTTGGCTTGACAGCTATCTTTACATTCCTCCTGCTAAAGCAGACCACAGAGGCATCCTCTAAGATGTCAGTTAAGGGGTTGTTGAGTTCTGTCCTTAATCTTTGGTGGCTGAGCTAGAAGTCTGTAGTCACAGGCATGTTTTGACAGTTTTTTTTTTTTTTTGAAACAATGCAGTGCCCATGAGGAGAGCTATGTTCTTTAAGTAAGATCAAAACATGAAGATCGTTTCACTAATTTGTCTATAAATTTTGTTATTAATTTGCCAAGAACAACTTTAACTTGGACTTTAGAGGGAGCAATGAGCACTGTATTATACCTCTAACTATATTGTTTTTAGATAAATAGTATACCTTTATGGTTGCAAATACCTAACACAAGTGCAACTTGTTTGACCAGCAGACCCAAATGCAAACATGTCAATAACTTAAAAAAATTTTTTTTTAGTTTTTCTGTACCAACAAATTGAGAACAGCCTATTTATCATATTTATTTAAGTCAGGTGCACCAGAAAGGTAATTTGTGTTAATTTAGCAGTTTTTAATAATTTTTATATAGACACACAATCTGCACATAAGTATCTGGCTCCTGCCATCGGATCAGCCCGGTGCGCCGGCTGCAGCGGCCATTGGAGGGTGAACCAACGGCAAAAAGGAAGACCTTTCTCTCTGTCTCTCTCTCACTGTCCACTCTGCCTGTCGGAAGAAAAAAAAAGAAAAGAAAAGACAAAAAAAAAAAATTAATGGGGCTGGCTCTGGTGCAACAGGTTAACGCCCTGGCCTGAAGCGCCGACATCTCACGTGGGCGCCGGCTCCTGGCTTCAGATTGGCACAGCTCCGGCCATTGCGGCCAATTGGAGAGTGAACCAGCAGATGGAAGACCTCTCTAACTCTGACTTTCAAATAAAGAAATCTTAAGAGTGTTAATTTTTTTTTAATCTATGATGTCAGTGACCACCCGAGGCTGTTGACATGAGCTGCCTAGACTAAGGAAGCCTTTTGAGTCCACAACTCTCAGTATTTGGACAAGGCCAGAAGCAAAGTGGAAGTTCTCTCCTCCCTTTAGAGAAAAGTACATCCTCTTTTGATGGCTGCTGCTTTCCACTGGGGCCTCACGGAGATCCTTCATGTAGAACATTTTTGCCACAGTGTCTTGGCTTTCTATGCTTGACATGTAAAACAAGTCCATATTTAAACAGACTTTTAAAACTTTGAAACTTTTAGAACTCAGCTGTTTTTAAACAAGTAGAACTTAATGAGACAACGATTATCTCAGTAGGATACAAAAAGACTATTTTCCCAAATATCTATTAACACTTAAGTATTTCATCAACCTCATTGCTTTTACAGAGGATCAGATTTTAATCTTACGTCAAAAAAAAAAAAAAACAGATTGATAACTTTTGTAGCTAACAAAAAAATTGTATAACCATTTAAGACTTCCACACACCTTTTGCAACTACCTAAACCGTTTTATCTTTTCCATTCCAATCTTACAATCCATGTCCTTTCTTTATTATTTCACTAAGAAGCACAGCTTTGACTTGGCAACCTTTTTTCCATCTGTTGATTTTCTTGATTTACATTGAAAATCACAATTTAAAAGAATATCCCGAATTTCAACCTTAGTTACTTCTGAGCAGTCTTGAATTATTTTTATTTATAGACAGCTTATGAAAACCTATTTGTCAACAAATCCAGAGTTTTTCATAGACTGTAAGGTGTTAAGAGTACCTAAGTTTACTTGTGGACACATGTATCTCATTTACCTTTACCCAATTTACATTTAGCAACTACACAGATTGTTAGGGTTGGAGTAGCTGGGGTTCTGGCCTTTTGTACCCCCCTCCCCTGCCGCCCTGGGATGAGAGAACTGACATCAACGGAGACAGGTCACTTCATTAAGGCAAAGAGGGAGAAGCATCCTGTTCTAGAAAAGTCTGGTCTGGAGTGCACTTGGGGCTGGGGTTTTATCTGGTTAAGGAGGGAGTTTGCCACTGTCGCTGTGGGGGAGGGAGAAGACTTTGCAGCTGGTGGAAAGTGGAACTAGGGGGCTCTGGGAAGCCTTGGGAACTTTCCTCAAATCTAATTAGAAAGCTGCCCTGTGCAGCTCATCTATTTAATTAGTTGTTTTGCAAGGAGTCTGGGGGAGGTTGCACCTGGTTCCCCAACCAGAGGAGGTTGCACTGGTTGTCAGAAGGAAGGGAGGAAATGGGGAGGGGGTGGGCTGAGGACAGAAGGAATGGGGAAGGGGCCATGAGCCCTTTACAGATGACTGAAGATACTGGCATTGTATCATACTTTGTCTGAATTAATGTCAGAATTACATTTATATGGAATTTTATTTTTTATAAAACTGGAAATCAGTTTTATCAACCTGAGATCTGTTAAATGGCCATTTTTCATTTAGTCACCTGCTGTCTGGCAAGGGTTAGCATCATTGCAGAACCTGTAATGGTTGCATAGAAGCCAATAGGGATTACAGTTGAAGCCTTCATAGGTAAGCCGATGACAGCCACATTTCATTCCCAGGACAGATTTCTCTTTCTTCTTTAGACCTTGGGAAAGCCTCTAGCACAACCTCAGTGGTGTCAGCTAGAAACAAGTTTAAGTAAAAGACAAAGGCCTCTGCCACACTTGGGGAGGCTCGGTTCCTGCACCCTGCTTGGCTGTTGCCGTGAGAGCACAGGCTCTTGTTCTGCAGGGAGGGCTCTGCTCCGGCACTGAACCCTGAGCTGCTTCCCGCCCTCTGCTTGGCGGGCTCCACTCTTTCCTTGGGGTGAGTGTCCGGGCTTTTTTGTTTGTTTGTTTGTTTGTTTTTTGTTTGGAGGCCAGAGACTAGTTAAAGCAGTGAAAACAGATTTTATTCAGTACCTCCTGAGGAGAGCTGAGCTCCATTACCAGTGGTGCAGAGGTGCCTGGGTGTTTTAAAGGGAGGGCTGGGGTTGGCACAGCTCAAGGGAAGAGTGAGAAGAGGTCATTCAGGGTAAATGCGTGATCCCAGCTGTGTGTGCTAGCTGGAAGTTATGGAAGTTAGCACGCTGTCTTCTTGCAGAAACTGGCATGGCGGCCCTGGCCTCATAGGAGTGGCTACTGAGCAGGGACACACTTCCAGATTTGTAAGCTTTTTTGAGTGAAGTCTCTAAGAACGGAAGGTTGGGGCCTGCCTCAGATGATAGCCTGAACAGTCAGTTCTTCTGGCATTGTGGAGCTTATTCAGGCAGGCAGGCAGGCAGGCTTGCTTATTTATCAATTTTATTTAAGAGTGACAGGGGTCGGGGGAGAGAAATAGCTCTTATCTACTGATACACTTCCCAAACGCCTACCATGGCCAGGACTGGACTGAAGCCAAAGCTGGCAGTAGGGAACCCATTCCAGGTCTCCTGCATGGGTAGCAGGAACCCAGTTGGGCCATCACTGCTGCCTCCCAGGCTCTGCATTAGCAGGAAGCTGGAGTCAGGAGCTGGAACTGAATATTGAATCTTTAGCACTCTGGCGGGGGGATTCAGTGAGTGTCATGACTGTTAGGCCACATGCTCACCACTCAAGTGAGCACTTTAATGAATAATTGCAGTCATCCCAGGGTTGTGGCCTTGTGCTGCTGGAAGCCGGAATCTGGTTGTCTCTGAGTGCGAAGGACTGAATGGAGCCACATGCCCGGAGTGCTGTTTCTAGGGGCAGCAGCTGTAACTGCGTGCTCCTCTGAGCCCTGCACTGCTCACTTACTCCGTACTCCTTGCTGTCTCGCCCATTGCCGTTCAGGACTTGGCAAGGATGGGAGGGGTGTTGATGTGCAGACATCAGGGCTCCCTCTATGGCTGTTTCAGAATTTCTCCCCCTAATCCTCACTGGCACCGACAGCTCTGATTCCCCGAGCCACAGTGTGACTTTGTGTTGCGTTGTTGCCACTCTGTACAACTGGGAGGTGTTCTGGGATAGTGCCCAGTGAAGTTCCTTCTTTCGAGGGTCAGCTCTCCAGTGTCTGTTGCTTTTGCTAGCTCTTCATTTATTTTGTGTTTTTTCAGGGTTCATAATTGTGCTGTGTGTGTAACTTATACACTATTTTGCCCTTGCCAGAATGACTGCTGTTCATTTTCCAGTTATTTATTATGAGAATAGTCAAACATTCAGAAAAATAATACGATTACTAAGATGAACTCTTCTATTCCTGCCACTGGTAACTTAGACTCCATATCTCTGGGTGTTTCTGCTTCCATACCTTTTCAGTAGACAGAGTTAGGGAAAACCTCTGAAAAATCGTGCGTTCTGGCCGGCTCTGTGGTTCACTTAGCTAATCCTCCGCCTGTGGCACTGGCACCCCAGGTTCTAGTCCCAGTTGGGGCGCTGGATTCTGTCCCGGTTGCTCCTCTTCCAGTCTAGCTCTGCTGTGGCCCGGGAAGGCAGTGGAGGATGGCCCATGTCCTTGGGCCCTGCACCCCATGGGAGACCAGGAGGAAGCACCTGGCTCCTGGCTTCAGATCAGTGCAGCACGCTGGCTGTAGCGGCCATGTGGGGGGTGAGCCAACAGAAGGAAGACCTTTCTCTCTCTATCACTAACTCTGCCTGTCAAAAGAAAAAAATCGTGAGTTCTTTTTTAAAATTTAATTTTATTGGCCAGTGCCGCGGCTCACTAGGGTAATCCTCCGCCTTGCGGCGCCGGCACACCAGGTTCTAGTCCCGGTCGCGGCGCCGGAGTCTGTCCCGATTGCCCCTCTTCCAGGCCAGCTCCCTGCTGTGGCCAGGGAGTGCAGTGGAGGATGGCCCAAGTGCTTGGGCCCTGCACCCCATGGGAGACCAGGAGGAAGCATCTGGCTCCTGGCTTCGGATCAGCGCAGCATGCTGGCTGTAGCGGCCATTTGGGGGGTGAGCCAGCAGAAGGAAGACCTTTCTCTCTCTCTCTCTCTCACTGTTTAACTCTCCCTGTCAAAAAACAAATCGTGAGTTCTTTTTTAAAATTTAATTTTATTTATTTGAAAGAGTTACACAGAGAGGTAGAGACAGAAAGAGAGGTCTTCCATCTGCTGGTTCACTCCCCAGATGGCTGCAACAGCTGGAGCTGTGCCAGTCGGAAGCCAGGAGCTTCCTCCAGGTCTCCCATATGGGTGCAGGGACCCAAGTTCTTGGGCCATCTTCTGCTGCTTTCCCAGGCCACAGCAGAGAGCTGGATTGGAAGTGGAGCAGCCGGGACCCGAACCGGCACCCCTATGGAATGCTGGCGCTTCAGGCCAGGGCTTTAACCCTCTGCACCACAGCGTCTGCCCCAAATCATGAGTTTTTAGTGATGTTGTCAATCAAACTTAATTTTGGGGGTGACTGGTGCTGTGGCATAATAGGCTAAGCCTTTGCCTGTGGTGCCGGCATCCCTTATGGGCACCAGTTCATGTCTTAGCTACTCCTCTTCTATCCAGCTCTATTGTATGGGCTGGAAAAGTAGTAAAAGATGGTCCAAGTATTTGGGCCCCTGCACCTGCATGGGAGACCCAGAAGAAGCTCCTGGCTCCTGGTCTCGGATCTGCCCAGCTCTGGCCGTTGTGGGCATTTGGGGAGTGAACTAGCGGATGAAAGACCTTTTTCTCTGTCTCTCCCTCTCTCTCTAACTCTACCTCTCAAATAAATAAAATCTTTTAAAAAATTTAATTTTCCATTTTATAATTCTTTCCCCTAACAATAAAAATAACAATAGTAGATAACAATAGTAGGTAATAATAACAATAGTAGATAAGACCCATTCAGAGAAGTCAGTCTAAGTTTCATCCTTATTCTTTCTACTCCATTCTTTTCTCCTGTAGGAGGTAATCTGTATTTGTTTTGGTTCATCTGCTGTCATTTAAAAAAATATGAGCAGGCTGTATATATATTCATACTTATTTTTCTTACACAAAAAGAATACTAAAAATGTTCTGAACCTTTTATATATATGGATGTTTTAATAGGTATTTTAATAATAAGAATATTTTTAATATTTATATTTTTAAGCTACAGGAGACCAAATAGAACTGATTGCTTTTTGAGTTGTACTACATAATTGAGAATTGCATATTATTGATCACATGTTTTAAATTTTATCTTTGGCTCTTTGGTATGACCATTTAAGAGAAAGGTAGTTGTCAAAAATGATAGATCACTTAAATTAGAAAGTTACATGGTTCTAAGGTTTATTTGGTTTTAAAAGAAATCATGCATGATTTTATAATCTTTTAAAAATTCTGCAGGTTGAAGATCCAGATTGCTTCTGGGTTATTATAAAAGGATGTAGTCCCTTTTTGGATCATGAAGTCGACTATCAAAAACTAAATAGCGCCATGAATGACTTCTATAACAGCATGTGTAAAGATATAGAAATAAAACCATTAATGTTGGAAGAAGGACAGGTATGTATCTGAATGCACTTTATTTATTGTATCTTTATTATTATTTGAAGATTTATTTAGTTGAAAGGCAAAGTTAGAGGGACAGATAGATCTTCCATCCTCTAGGTCAATCCCCAAATGGCCTTAATGACCAGGACTGGGCCAGGCCGAAGCCAGGAGTCAGGAGTTCCATCAGGATCTCCCACGTGGGTGCAGGGACCCAAGGACTCAGACCATCTTCCTTTGCTTTCGCAGGCTCATTAGCAGGGAACCAGACTGGAAGTGGAGCAGCCGGAACTGGAACCAGCACCAGCCTTTAATTATCCTATCTTGAAACACTAATCAGGATGTAGGGGTGGGTGTTTGGCCAGGTAGTTGAAACACCACCATGTTAGAGTGTTTACATTCGGTTCCTGATTCTAGCTTCCTGCTAATACACAGACCCTGGGAAGCACCAGATGATAGCTCAAGTAATTAGATCCCTGTTACCCACCTGAGAGACCTGGATTGAGTTCCTAGCTCATAGCCTTCACCCTCTCCCCCACGGCTGTTGTGGTCCTTGGGGAGTGAATCATTGGGTGGGAGTGCTCTGTCTACCAGATAATTGTTAAAAATATTTCAGGAGCTTAGAATGATGAATGTGATTAGAGTATTTTAACGTTCATGGCTGTTGCCTTGTGTTAGGTTTTTGGGTTGCATGAGACTCAGGCTGATGGTGGCAGGGGGTGGTGCTTGTGTAGGTCCAAGTGGGGCCTTGGGATAGATGCCATCCAGATCCAGGTGTTAGGGCCGTCTTCCTGGCGGTGGGAGCCAGGGCAGGTATACGGACCTTGGCAAAGAGGACCTGGGGTTTTCAGTTCTGGGCCAGTGCCTCCCTCTTTGGTTGCTCATGGCTTTGACCGACTTGGGATTGTTTCTGCTCTGTGCTCCACATCAGGGCTTCTTTGCTTTCGTGCAGCCTCAGCCACCATTGCTGTGGTCTGATTTCTCTTGGGTCAGCCACGTTCCAAGTGTGAACTTCGGTAATAGCATGGAGGGGAAGGACATGAACACTCGTTAGGAGGGAGACAAGACCTCATCTGATTTCCTTCCCTCGTGCCCACAAATGTCCTTAGTGACCAATTTGTTATTTTTCCATACCAGTGACTTACTGGAGGGATGGAATGGGGTCAGCGGTCCTTTAAGTGTAGTCTTGTTTGGGAAAGCATGATGGGCTCCTCACAGTGAGCATTTACCCAGGAGGTTAGTGCTTTCTCCCTGTCCTTTTGTGGAGAGGTGGTTAAACAGGACACTGTGAATAGATTGAGGGTCACTTGTTTTGAAGAACAGGCGTGCTGTTACCTTCACGTGGGTTTAACATGGGAGAGAGTGCCACTTGCAAGCCATGCTAGGGTGACCCCTCCTTCGTGGCACTGCTGTGAGTGTTTCACTTCATGCTCTCTCCATTCAGTGGCTGTCACTGCCCGAATCCACTTTCATTTGTTTTCTTTTTTTTTAAAGAGTGATTTATTTATTTGAAAGTCAGAGTTACGCAGAGAGGAGAGGCAGAGAGAGAGAGGAGATCTTCTACTCCCTGGTACACTGCCCAGTTGGCCGCGACAACCAGAGCTGTGCCGATCCAATGCCAGGGACCAGGAGGAAGCTCCTGGTGCAGGGGTCCAGGGACGTGGCCGATCTTCTACTGCTTTCCCATCCATAGCAGAGAGCTGGATTGGAAGTGGAGCAGCCGGGGCTCGAACCGGCGCCAATATAGGATGCCAGCACTGCAGGTAGTGGCTTTACAGGATATGCCACAGCACGGGCCCCTCATTTGTTTCAATATGGTGATTTCTCCCACTCCTTCTGTATTGGTGAGCTGGAATTCTTCCTGTTTAGCACTTTCCTTTCAGCTGATCTCTGCTTTCTGGGGGGCCTTTTCCTGGGAGACAGTGCTCAGTTTGGGCAGCCTCCTACACCTGTGTCATCTCCTGTAAGTGGGGTACAGGCTGAGACGATGTGGAGAGGAGCCTTTAGGGCTGTCATCACGTGACTAGAGGTTTGACTGCTGAACGTAATAAAGCCTGCCTTCTGTTTTGCAGGTCTGCGTGGTGTATTGTCCGGAGCTACGGTGCTGGTGCAGGGCTGTCATTAAGTCAATCATGTCTTCAGCAGACCATTACCTGGCAGAGTGTTTCCTTGTAGACTTCGCCAGGTACATTCCAGTAAAATCTAAAAAGTACGTATGTGTGTTTTTTTTTTTTTATTTAATGAGCATAAATTTCCAAAGTACAGCTTATGGATTACAAGAGCTTCTCCCCCCCGTAACTTCCCTCCCACCCACAACGCTCCCCTCTCCCACTCCCTCTCCCCTTCCCCTTCACATCACGATTAATTTTCAATTATCTTTATATATAGAAGATCAATTTAGCATATGTTAAGATTTCCACATTTTGCTCCCACACAGAAACACAAAGTGTAAAATACTATTTGAGTACTACTTACAGCATTAATTATACACCTAAGAGTAATTGTGTATTAATTACAGAGTTCAACCAATAGTTTTAAGTAGAATATAAAATGCATCTTTTGTATTGTTGTGGCTTCCCCTCAACCCTGACCTCCCTCCCTCCCGTGGCCCTCCCCTCCCCCACTCCCTCTCCCATCCCGCCCTTCATCACGTTTCATTTTCAATTACCTTCATATACTGAAGATCAACTTAGTATATACTAAGCAGGGATTTCCACAGGCTGCACTCACACAACCGAACCAGGTATAGGGTATTGTTCGACTAGTAGTGTTGTTTTTAAGTTTCATAGTAAAACACATTAAGGACAGAGATCCTACATGGGGAGCATGTAACCCAGTGACTCCCGTTGTTGATTTAACAATTGGCACACTTATTTATGCTGTCAGCAATCACCCGAGCCTCTTGCTATGAGCTGTCTAGGCTATGGAAGCCCCTTGAGTTCACCAACTCTGAATTTGTTTAGACGTATGTGTGGTTTTATGTCTGTTTGCCTTACTCTCTTTAAGGAGATAATGATGAATTTTAAAGGAGAATGTCAGTTTTTAAAGTAAGGGGATTACCTTTTGCAAAAAGAAGACATTGAGAGTTTTTGTGCCTTAAGAAATGAAAACTTGGGCCAGGCATTTGGCGCGGTGATGAAGTCACGACTTGGATGCCTGTGCGTCACATCAGAGTGCCTGCACTTGAATCTCAGCTCCACTCTCCACTCTGGTTTTCTGCCAGTGCACCCCCGGGAGGCAGCAGATGAGGGCTCAAGTTGACCCCTGCCACCCACACGGGAGACTGAGTTCTGGACTCCTGGTGTCAGCCTGGCTGTTGCCGCATTTGAGAAATGAATCAACCAGTGGACAGGCATCTGTGTTTGTCTCTCTGTCTGTGACTTTCAGATAAATAATGAAGGAAGACTGCAGGTTTCCATTCTGCGTGCATGACTAGAGGAGCAAATGGTCCTAATGAGGACAGAGAGAGTGACTGTGGCCTTTCTCCACTTGCCTGCCTAGGGTGGGGCAGGGCAGGTTCAGGCTGTTCCCTTCTCGTCTCCTGGGTGCCCTGTGCCAGCTGCTCTCTGGCCTGTCCTCTTAGTTTGCACGTGGGATGGGGTGGGTCCTTCAGTGCGGTTTGCCTCACCACCAGGAGGTAGAGAGAAACTCTCCGTGTCTCCACAGAGGAGGAAATTGATGGCCACCCTCAGGTTGCAGAGAGCAGATTATATACTCAAGTGTGTATTCCTGGTTGTTCTGCGTCACAGAGTAAAGGTGTGGCTATCACGTAGGGTGTGGAGACGGTTCAGGCTCGTCCTGACTGTAACCTTCATTGACTGTGGGACTGCATGTCACAGCTCACTAGAAAACATTAGCACATCACTGTGTTCCTAAAGTTGTATTGATAAAATGCATGAAGTTTTAATAAATGGTTTCTGGGGGTGGGGGGAACATGCCAGCACACGAGGCTGGTGCTGTGGTATAGTAGGTTAAGTCGCTGCCTGCCGTGCCAGCATCCTTTATGGGCACCCGTTCACTTTGAATCCAGCTCCCTACTCATGGCCTTGGAGAACAGCAGAAGATGACCCAAGTGCTTGGGCCCTTGCACCCATGTGGGAGACCCAAAGTAGCTCCTGGCTTTGGATTGGCCCAGCTCTGGCCATTGTAGCTATTTGGGGAGTGAGCCAGAGAATGGAAGACCAAGCTCTCTGTCTTTCCCTCTCTCTGTCTATAGCTTTACCTCTCAAATAAATAAATGTTAAGGAAAAGCTAGCACAAGTCACTGTTGGTGTTTAGTGATAATTGTCCCATGGTTTGTCCCAGAGTCAGAGGATGTCCATTTAATAGGCAAACACAAGGGCTCTTATTCCAGTGCAAAAAGAGCAGAGCCAGCTAGCCTTCGGTGCAGTAAGAGGTGTCTCTCACGTAGAGGAGTTTCGTGGCAGAAGGGCTCACCAGACATGGAGGATTTGCAGATACTTAAGGGAAAAGTAGGTGCCTCCCCAGCTTGGGATTCTGCACCTCTGTGACCATAATTGTTATAAAAGTACTTGGGGTCAGCGCTGTGGCATAGCGGTACAGTCACCAACTGCAGTGCCGGCATCCCATATAGGTGCCGGTTAAAAAGCCCAGGCTGCTTCACTTCTGACCCAGCTCTCTGCTATGGCCTGGGAAAGCCGAGTCCTTGGGCCCTGCACCCGTGTGCAGGAGGACCTGGAAGAAGTTCCTGGCTCCTGGCTGTAGATCCGCACAGCTCCAGCCAGTGTGACCAATTGGAGAGTGAACCTGTGGATGGAAGACCCCTCCCTCCCTCCCTCTCTCTCTCTCTCTCCCCCTCTCCCCCTCCCCCTCCCCCTCTCCATCCCCCTCTCCCTCTGTGTAACTCTTTCAAATAAATAAATATTTTGTTTTTAAGTACTTACTGTGTTTAGCCATCATGGGAGCTTTTCCTTTTGTGTTTGGTGTTTTGAGTTTATTTTTGGCAAGAAAATCAAATGATTAAGTAGAGCTCTAACCTATCTAAGACAAAGGGTAGGGCTTCAGGGAAGAGAGCTGCTTGATGGTGAGGAAATATGTTGGCATGTCTGTTGCTTGCCTTGTCACCTCGCCGTCCATCAGCTGTTTTGTGCAAAGTTGGCAAATACTAATTTTTAAAACATCTGTTCATAGACAGCAATGTTGGGGTACTTCTGGTCACGTAGTAAATGGAATTTATTTCACAGGCTTATTCATTGTTATTCAGTGTTTCCTTTTATTTTTCACTTTTTATGTATTTGAAAGGCAGAGAGACAGAGAGAGAGAGAGAGAGAGCGAGCGCGCGAGCACGTGCCTTCTTGTTTCACTTCTAAAATACCTACAACAGCCCTGGGTAGGCCATGCTGGAGCCAGGAACTGGAAACTCAATGTGGTCTCTCCTGTGGGTGGCAGAGACCCAGCCACCTGCTGCCTCCCAGGGCCTGCACCAGCAGGAGGCTGATTGGGTGTGGAACAAGAACTGGAGCCCGGGTGTTCTGACTCGAGATCAGGGCATCCCAAGCAGCATCCCAGCAGGGAGGCCGCATGCCTGCCCCTGTGCAGTATTTCTGTTCCTTCTTTCCCTCCTTCCTCTCTTCCTCCCTCCTTCCCTCCTTCCTTCTGATTTGTGGTATGAAAGGCAGAGTGACAGAAAAGGAGAGAAAGAAAGAGAAGTGTATCTTTCATCCTTTGGTTTACTCCTGCAAATACCCACCACAGCCAAGCTGAAACCAGGAACCCAGAACTCCACCTGAGTTTCCCATGTGGGCACAGGGACCCAAGTACTTGAATTGTCTTCACTGATGTCCCAGGCGCATTAGCAAGGAGCTGGATCGGCAGTGGATCTGGGCCCAAGCTGGCACTCGCATGGACACTGGCGCCGTGGGTGGCGCCTTCACCTGCACCACAGTGCCAGCTGCACAGTGTGTCTTAACCTGAGGAGCCTCACCAGATACACTCTCCCTGAATTCCTGCCCCTGTGCCATGAAATTTTGATGCCACAGATACACTGAATCACTATGTAGGATCTCTCTGCTTTTACAGGAAGATTTTTTTCCACCCTCCAAGAAGCAGTTTTGTTCCCTTGGCCAGATGTCTCCAGGCATCTGTTGGAGGCTGTGTTAGAATCAGAAAGGCATGTCTTTACTTTGTTTTACGGCAAGCATGTTACTGACCTAGGTGAACTATAAAGGAGTCTGTTCTGTGTTGTGTGTTTTATAATGGAACTCTCTCTGCTTCATTTGTCAGCATCCGAGTTGCAGTGGAATCATTTATGCAGCTTCCCTACAGAGCAAAAAAGTTCCGGTTGTACTGCATGAAGCCTGTTACATTGCACATTGACTTCTGTGAAGACAGCGCCGAGATTGTGTAAGTACAGGTTCTGAAGTCACAGGAATCATGAGTAAACGCCTTCAGTTTGTGTCTGCATTTATGTGCCATCAGTTACCCGCGAGCAGGTTTTGAAGGTCTGGGTTCTGCAGGAGGCAGCCTCTGAGTTGGTGCTGGTCAAACTGGCTGTGAGTAGAATTCTCAGGCACCCCCTCCCAGGCCAGAGCTCTGTGCCTTTTGACTTAAAAAAAAACTTATAAAAAGTAGTAGAGGCCGGCGCCGCGGCTCAATAGGCTAATCCTCCGCCTTGCGGCGTCAGTACACGGGGTTCTAGTCCCGGTCGGGGCGCCGGATTCTGTCCCGGTTGCCCCTCTTCCAGGCCAGCTCTCTGCTGTGGCCAGGGTGTGCAGTGGAGGATGGCCCAAGTCCTTGGGCCTTGCACCCCATGGGAGACCAGGAGAAGCACCTGGCTCCTGCCTTCGGATCAGCGCGGTGCGCCGGCTGCAGCGCGCCAGCCGTGGTGGCCATTGGAGGGTGAACCAACGGCAAAGGAAGACCTTTCTCTCTCTCTCTCACTGTCCACTCTGCCTGTCAAAAAAAAAAAAAAAAAAAAGTAGTAGAGTAATTCTAAAGAAAAGCTTTCATGAAATAAAACTGCTGGAGCATTAAAAAAATGTTGACCACATGCCTGCCTCTGTCCCACGTCTTTCCTCCTGGAGGCCTCTGTGGGCTGTGCAGGCTTTGACCTTCCCACCCTCCATTGGTGCACTTACATACCCATGTGATCGTGGATCCTGCCCTCTGTCAGTGCCTGTACACACCCCTGTGCGCCTGGATCTCGCCCTCTGTCGGTGCACTTAGACACCCCTGTGAGCCTGGATCTCGCCCTCTGTGGATGCACTTACATACCCCTGTGAGCCTGGATCCTCCCCTCTGTCCGTGAGGTTAGACACCTCTGTGGGCATGGACTTTCTTAGGAAGAGAACAGGCTCTCTTGTTTGCAGAATTAACTTAGGAGTAGCTGTGGAGGTTCTTTGCCAATCCATATCCCTCTCCTAACCACTTTGAGTCTTTTTCATGGGTGACTATGACCGATGTGGTTATTGGATTTAACTGCCCCCCCCATTTGATCTTTAAAATAACTCTTGGAAGGAATGGATCTTGTGATACAGCCGATTAAGCCACTGCTTGGGGCACCTTTGGTTCCATACTGGAGTACCTGATGTAAGTCCTGGCTGCCCACTTCCAGGACAGCTTCCTGCTAATGCCCTAGGAGACAGCAAATGGTGGATCGAATCCTGAGTACCTGCCACCTGTGAGGGAGACCTGAGTGGAGTTCCGGGCTCCTGGTTTCGGCATGGTCCAGGCCCAGTTGTTGGAGACATTTGGAGAGTGAACCAGTAGATAGAAGATTTCTCTCTCTCTCTTGCCCTCTCTGATGCTCTGCCTTTCAAATAAATAAAAATGAATAAACATTTAAAAAACTAAAATAACTCTTGAAGTATGGTGGTAGCATATCTGATAGATCCAAACAAGAGAAATGTAAATATATTATTCTGATCTTGACTTTTTATTTTATTTTTATTCCTTCTAAATACTGGTTTCTCCTGATTTTCTACTGCCTATACCTTTTCCTGTGATTTTCTTTCCAAAGCATAGGCAAGATGTAGAAAGGTTAAGTTGATAGAGATCAAATGGGAGGTGGCGAATGGGTGCTCTAGTGGGCAGAGTGAGGACCATAGCAGCCGCTTCCCCACAGCTGCCCCTACACTGTTGGCTTAGCCGACATGTACTGATCCCTCTCTGTGCCAGCCTGTGGAGACGCAGTGATCTCAGAATCGCTGCCCCAGGGAGCTTGTGTTTTGATTTGTCACAGGTAACTGATGTTGCAGCAGGCAGTGCCAGGTGGTGAGCACAGGTCACCTCACTGGGGCTCCTGGGATGTGAGTTTGTGTTGGTGCAAGCAGCAGTGTGGAGGGGGTGTGTCACAGGAAGTAGCTGGGGTCTTTATCCCCACCCAGAGCAGGGCCAGAGCTATGCTGTCTGTTGTGTGCATCGTGTGCTTGATTGGTCATGCAGAAAAGAGCCCTGTGTGTGGTTTACAAAGCAAGGTTAGTGTACTAGCCTTGGGGTTTTGTTTAATGAAGTTGCCCTGTTCACTGTTTCAGACCTGCCAAGAAGTGGGACAGTGCCGCTGTTCAGTACTTTCAGAATGTCCTGAAAGGTAAGCCGGTGCGCACTCAGAGCCTGCTTTGAACTGCCGCCGAGGTCGCTCAGCCTTCTGTGGGTGCAGGCTTGGCCAGGTGCCTATCTGGCTGTTTGACCCTCTTGGCAGGTTTCCCTAAGTACCTGCAGCTGCTTCTGCCCAGTACTCAGCACCCCTGCAGCTTTGTAGGTGAACGGGGAGGTCAGTAGCTGACAGCTGATCAGAAGGGGGCCTTTTGTGGGGGGGATGCCTGCACGAGAATAGTGTCCACTGCTTTGCTTGCATAGAAGCTGCAACACTGCAGAGTAAATGGACACGGATGTTATTAGACCAGCAGTTGCTGGAAAGCCTAGCTTTGTTCAGTGAGCGAGATTATAGGAAGTGGGTGTTTGCTATATAATAATCAGTTGCTGATTTAAGATGTGTAAAGTGTCATTGACAACCTGTGTAGTGGCTCTCTTCATTTCATGTCAGTGTCTCTTGTGGCATCTGTCCTGACCCCTGGCAGTCAGAAGCCTAGTGACTCTGTCTGCTTCTTAAGGCTGTAGGCTGTTCAGAAGAGTTAGGGAGTGTGAAATGCCTGTGGGACGGCCTGGTACCTAATTGAGTCCTGCCTCCTCTTCTGAGCTGTCCTGCAACACTGGGGAAAGGAAAACCAAGTGCTCTGATGTTGGAAGGAACTGGAGGTTGGAAGGGTCGCTAGATTTGGAATTTGGGCCCTTGTGAGCTCTCTGGGGCTTCTGGGAAGTGAGCATGGGGGTTTGGATGAGGCCGACCATTGGGAGGACCAAGAAGTACCCTGGAGGGGGAGGCATTTGAAGGGTGGCAGGAGGATGCTGTTGATGGGATAAAGGGCTTACTTATAACACCACTGGCCGAAGAGCCTTTTTCACGGCTCCTAGGAAGACTTTGGTCATTTTGGCACTGGGAACTTTTTCGTGGTTGGCAGAGATTAACAGATGGGAAATAGCCATGATTTTCTCAAGAACGCTTTTAATGTCAGCTGATTTGAGTTTTCTTTTGTGCCATCTAGCAACTACCCAGGTAGAAGCCAAGTTATGTGCTGTGGAAGAAGACACTTTTGAGGTTTACCTTTATGTAACCATAAAAAATGAAAAAGTAAGTTGTATTTTAAATTTTAAATTCTATTTTAAATTCTACTTTAGTAAAACAGTGAATAAATGCCAAGTAAAACAGTGTAATTCATGCAGCATAGAAATCATCTTAATATTTCAAAGTCTTAAGTTAAAAGTAGCCAGGACTGTGTATTTTCTATTGATTATTTTTAAAAAATACTTCATTTTATTTAGTGATGGGCAAAAATTATTATAGTAATAAGTCTGAACTGTTGTTTCCTTATGATTTTTAGAAATGACTCATTTGTGGGCCGGCGCCGCAGCTCACTAGGCTAATCCTCCGCCTTGCGGCGCTGGCACACCGGGTTCTAGTCCCGGTCGGGGCGCCGGATTCTGTCCCGGTTGCCCCTCTTCCAGGCCAGCTCTCTGCTGTGGCCAGGGAGTGCAGTGGAGGATGGCCCAGGTGCTTGGGCCCTGCACCCCATGGGAGACCAGGAAAAGCACCTGGCTCCTGGCTCCTGCCATCGGATCAGCGCAGTGCGCCGGCCGCAGCGCACCGGCCGCGGCGGCCATTGGAGGGTGAACCAACGGCAAAAGGAAGACCTTTCTCTCTGTCTCTCTCTCTCACTGTCCACTCTGCCTGTCCAAAAAAAGAAAAAAAAAAAAAAAAAGAAATGACTCATTTGCTACCATGTCAGTTCACTGCTCTCGCCTGCTCTGGGGTTTGTTCACAGTGTATTTTGTGGCCTTTTAAAGGATTCACATAAGCGCAGAGAAGGAGATGGCACACATGAGCCCCTCCTGAAGTACCTGCTGCTGCCCTGGTGCAGTTCTGCACCTGGGTCAGAGCGGCAGGGTGGTGTGGATCCAGGGCCTCCGGGAGCCCACACACAGTGCCTTCCTCATGAATTTAATTTTTTTTAAAATAATTTTGGACTTTCAGAGGAGCTTCAAAAATAGTATGGAGCTATTTGGATGTGGTTTACCTTGTTTTCCTAATGTTAGCGTCGTACAGAGCCGCAATGCAGTCAAAAACTGGCAGATTAACATGAGTAAATACTGCTAAAGTGTCCTTGGCCCTCACCGGAGTGTTGCAGTGTTCCCACTGGTTTCCTTTTTCTGGTCCAGGGTCTGAGCCAGGCCTCCAGCTTGCCTCCAGTGTCCTGTCTGGTTAGTCTCCCAGAGTCTGGGACAGTTCTTCAGTCTTCCTTCATGGCCTGAACGCTTCTGAAGAGTCCTGGTCAGTTATGCTGCAGAGGAACGTTCAGTTTGACTTGGCCTGATGTTCTCATGATCAGACTGAGGTTGTGCGTGTTGGCAGAGAGAGAGAGAGGTCTGCCATCCACTGGTTCACTCCCCAACTGGCTGCGACGGCTGGAGCTACGCCGATCCAAAGCCAGGAGCCAGGAGCTTCCTCTGGGTTTCACACACAGGTGCAGGAGCCCAGGGACTTGGGCCATTTTCTGCTTTCCCAGGCCATAGCAGAGAGCTGGATCGGAAGTGGGGCAGCTGGGACTAGAACTGGCACCCGTATGCCATGCCAGCACTGCAGGCAGCAGCTTTACCTGCAACACCACAGCGCCAGGCCCTATCAGACATTCTGAATTTGCTACGGTGAGGTTCACTTTTTCCATCATTCCTTCTACAGTTTTAAAACTTTAATTATCTTTTTTAAAAAGATTTATTTGTCTATTTGAAAGTCAGAGAGAGAAGGAGAGACAGAGAGAGAGAGGTCTTTCATCTACTGGTCCACTGCCCAACCAGCTGCAATGGCCAGAGCTGAGTTGACCTGAAGCCAGGAGCCAGGAACCTTCCCTGGGCCTCCCACATGGGCACAGGGGCCCAAGGACCCGGGCCATCCTCCGGTGCCTTCCCAGGTCATAGCATAGAGCTGGATTGGAAGTGGAGCAGCCAAGATCCAAACTAGCACCACATGGGATGCGGGATGCTGGCACCACAGGCCTAGGCCCTAACCCGTTGAACCACAGCACTGGTCCTTTATTTATCTTTTTTGAAAAAGATTTTCTTGGCCAGCCCCGTGGCTCACTAGGCTAATCCTCTGCCTGCAGCGCCGGCACCCCGGGTTCTAGTCCCAGTCGGGGCGCTGGATTCTGTCCCAGTTGCTCCTCTTCCAGACCAGCTCTCTGTTGTGGCCTGGGAGTGCAGTGGAGGATGGCCTGAGTGCTTGGCCCCTGCACCTGCATGGGAGACCAGGAGGAGGCACCTGGCTCCTGGCTTTGGATTGGAACAGTGCACTGGCTGGCAGGCCGTGGCAGCCCCTTGGGGGGTGAACCAACGGAAAAAGGAAGACCTTTCTCTCTCTCTCTCTCTCTCTCTCTCTCTCTCTCTCTCTCACTGTCTCTGTCAAAAATAAATAAATAAAATACAATAAAAATATTTTATTTATTTGAGAGGTAGATTTATAGACAGAGAAAGACATAGAGAAAGGTCTTCATCTGCTGGTTCACTCCCCAAATGGCTGCAGTGGCAGGAGCTGAGCTGATCTGAAGTCAGAAGCCAGGAGCTTCTTCCAGCTCTCTCACAGGGGTGCAGGGGCCCAAGCACCTGGGCTATCTCTCACTGCTTCCCAAGGCCATAAGCAGAGAGCTGGCTTGGAAGAGGAGCAGCTGGGATGCAAACTGGCCCCATACAGGATGCCGGTGTGGCAGGTGGAGGCTTAGCCTACTGTACAGAGCACAGGCCCCTATTGATCTTGCTATTTCTTTGAAAGGCAGAGAGACAGAGATCCTCAATATCCTGGGTCACTCTCCAAATGCTGTCATTGACTAAGCCTGGGCAGGCCAAAGCAGGGAGCCAGGAACTCAATCTGGGTCTCCCCGTATGGGTTACCAGGACTCAAATTCTGGAATCGTCATCTGCTGGCTCCCAGGGTCTGCATTAGCAGGAAGCTGAATTGAAAGCAGAGCTGGGTTTCAGACCAGGCACTTTGATATGGGATGCAGGCATCCCAAGTGGTGACATAAATAACCACTGTACCAAATGCCTGCCTCTACATTTTTAATGAAAAAACTATCCCTTCTTCCTCACTTACTGATTGTATTCAGCAATTTCTGTTAGTATGGACTTTGGATTATTTGTTTTGTTTGGAGGGTTGTAATCCCCTCAAATTATCATTACCATCTTGCTCAGTTGTCTCAAGTTTGGGTCATTAAGGGCTTCCTTGTGTTCTTCCATTGTGACCCCTCATTGTTTACACACAGTTTTCTGGGGCCCCAAGATCATTTTCCAGACCCAGCTGTATAATCAACCACTTCTTCAAGAAACTCTGGTTCCTTTTGTTAAAAAATGACATTTAGATACCCAGATGAGGGCATAGGTGTGTTTGCTGCTACTGGGATGAAAGAGATTGTCATTCCTCTCAGCAGAAAGAGTTAGGAATACAAACATGTACACACACACTTTATAACTGTGTGTACATGCACACACACATGTCTTTATTGCTAACCTATCTATCTATACTTATGTTAAGGACTCTGATACTTTGATTTCAGTCCAACAACCTAACCCTCCCCTTTCCTTTTTTTTTATACTTATTTATTTGAAACAGAGACAGAGGGAGAGATGCAGAAAAAGAGATTTTCCTTATGCTTGGTTCACTCTCCAAATGGCTGCAATGCCCAGGGCTGGGCCAGGCTGAATCCAGGAGCCAGAAACTCTAACTGGGTCTTTACATGGGTATAAGGGGCAGGTTCAAGCACTTGGACCATCTTCCACTGCCTTCCCAGGTACATCAGCAGGGAATCGGATTGGAAGCAGAGCAGCAAGGACTTGAGCCAGTGCTCCAGTAGGGGGTGCTGGCATCCACAGATGGTGGCTTAACTCGCTGTACCCCAACACTTGCCACTTTCCTTGTTCTTGACACTTTATTCTAACAGTATACTTACCTGATTCACATAAAGAAATCTCAAATGCCAACATTGCTCTAAGAGATTTGTCTTTAGCCTATTATATACAGCCAAAATACTGTTTTAAAAGTTACTGATGTTAGTGTTTTTCTTTCACAACTTCTTCAATGTTAGTGTTTATTTTGCATTTTGGGTTTCTCACATTCTGGTTGATTTTTATCTGTTATTTTTCATTGTTTATTTTATGCTTTGGTGAAAACAAACAAGCAGAAAACTATCAGATTGTTGATTATGAGGGCCAACCTTGTAAGATGTCTTTGTTTTAAAAAGCCTTTATTGACTGCTTTATTCTTGCTGTTTAAAAATAAGTCTTTCTCACCACATGGGTTGGTGTGCTTATAAGACTTGCCTTGACTGAAGGCTGGGAGGTCTGTGCTTAACTGAGGGAGAACTTAAAATGGATGCATGAGGTCATGATTGCCAGAGAAAGAGGATTAGGGCCAATAATCCTCTTTAGGCTCACAAAGGAAACACCAGCATGTGTCCCAGGGTGTTCTGTTTTTTGGGCTGGCAGCTTTCTTTCAAGATGATTTTAAGATACTTCCATGTTGTTGCGTGTGTCAGTGGTCTCCTGTTGTAGGGATGTGATATGTGTGCATTTATTCCTGCACTTATTGATGGTGTTTGAGTTGTGGCCAGCTTGGGGCTGTTACCAATATTCATGTAAAAGTCTTCCTGTGGACCTGTGCTTTTGTGACTCTTGAGTAAATACCTAGAATATTATTTTGGGTGGGCCGGCACTGTGGCACAGTGGGTAAAGCCATTGCCTATAGTGCTAGCATCCCATATGGGCACCGGTTAGAGTCCTGGGTGCTTCACTTTTAATCCAGCTCTCTGGTATGGTCTCAAAAAGCAGTAGAAGATGGCCCAAGTCCTTTGGGCCCCTGCACCCATGTGGGAGACCTGGAAGAAGTTCCTGGCTCTCGGTTTAGGATTGGTGCAACTCCGGCCATTGCGGCCAGTTGGGGAGTGAACCAGCAGATGGAAGACCCCTCTCTCTCTCTCTCTCTCTCTGCCTCTCTGCCTCTCTGTATGTAACTCTGACTTTCAGATAAATAAATAAATCTTTTAAAAAGAATATTATTTTGTGTAAGTCATGGATAATACTGTAGATATT